TGGTAATTCAGTCTGCTGCATGTGCTGGTCAAAGTGCATTACTTGTAATTACTTGTAGAACTGGTAGAGAAGAGGGAAACAGATCAGAAAAATTTCTCAAATCTACAACTTGGACATGTGGTAGTGACATTTTTCAGGAAAGAAATCCAGTGGTGCTGGAGAGCAATCACTTGCTAAAGAGGTTAGCATGGATAAAAGGTAGCCAGGTGCTAATAGTCAGAACAATGGGAAAAGACCCTGAAGGCATCTCAGACATCTTTGAGGCTGCCTCTCCCATCAGAGGCCCAGAGACCTAGGAGGACAGCATGGTTTGGGGAGACAGGCCCAGGGCACAGCTGGCCTGGAACACCTCAAGGAGTCCTGGAACGTCCTGCATGCTGCTCCAACACCCAGCCGCTGCAGTCACAGAATGTCTACCTAATGACTGTACAACCATTGTATCTTGGGAAAAAATACTTCGTTTTTGGTTTTACAGGCTCATAGCTCGAAGGAACTTGCTTTGATTCTCAGACTTTGAACCTCGAAGTTGATGCTGGAACAAGTTAAGAATTTTAGGGACTACTGGAATTGTATTTTGCATGTGAGAAGGATGATTGTCTTTTGCATGTGAGAAGGATGAGAGCTGGGTGGTCAGGGGTGGAATGCCATGGTTTGGATGTCTGACCCCTCCAAATCTCACGCTGAAATTTAATCCCCAGTGTTGGAGGTGGGGACTAATAGGAGGTGTTTTTTTCATGGAAGCAGGTCCCTCATGAAGGCTTGGTGCCATCCTCACAGTAATGAGTGACTCCTCACTCTACTAGTTCCCACTAAAGCTGGTTGCTAAAAAGAGCCTGGCACACCACAGCCCACCCCACCTCTTGCTTCCTCTCTCACCATGTAATCTCTGCATACACCAGCTCCATGAGTGGAAGCCTAAATCTTTCAGCAGAAGCAGATGCTGGTGCCATGCTTCTTGTACAGCCTTCAGAACCATGAGCCAAATAAACTTCTTTTCTTTATAAATTACCCAGCCTCAGGTATTCCTTTATAGCAACACAAATGGATGAAGACAACTTTCATATCTTTATATCTGTAGCAGCATCTGTAACAAGCCTTGGACACAGCAGACATGCAGTGAAGATGTGTTCTGCTAACGGAAAAAGTAAGTCAACATTTTTGAAACCCCACTAGACGAAGGCATGTGGGAGGCAACAGGCTGCAAATGAGATTTCTATCTTAAAGTAGTTTATAATCTGAAGACCACAGATATGTAAATTACTTATACAATCAACAGGGACTGCATACATGTAAATACAAAGGAAGTCCCTGGAATGGCTGCATTTGTCAGGATTAGGCTGAGAACACTGAGGCTCAAGTTAAAAGGAGTAAGAATTGTGAGGCCATTCAGCCACAAATAATTACTCCAAAGAGGTACAAAGCAACAGTATTCAAAGAATAGCAAGAACATCTCCAAGGGTGCAGTAAAGAACAGCATCATTAGCCAATGGGGGTGAGCTTTTAAGAGTGGCTGGCAGAGGCCCTGGAGACAGCAATGCAAAGCCAGAGCCTGAGCTTCTTTAAAGCCTATTCAGTAAGGTTCCCACTTTGGGAAGGAGTGTGTCAAGAATAGACGGGAGGGGAAGGCTAGAATAAGAAGCCTGACAATACATACTAGAGATACACGGCAGACAGGACATCCTGGCTGTCCGCACTATTCTCAAGCGGGAATTTGGGACAACCCATTTAAGAGCCCATCTTGGCACAAATGCCATGATAGCCCTGAGTGCCAGAGCAGCGGCACTTGAATCTGAAACCTCGTCTTAGAGTAAGACTATTTCTCTCTGTCTCATAAGGCTTACCACAGTCTATACAGCAAAATGACTTAGAGCAATTGCTGAGATCTGGGTTCAGATCTCAGTTCTGACACTCATTAGATGTACGGCCTCAGGGAACATACTTAACCTTACTTAGCCAGGAATAAAATGGGGACAATTATTATACCCGCCCCTTAGGTAGGGATATACAAAATGCTGAGCAGAGTGAATAGCCCAGTAAGTTCTCAGCCAGTATTATTAAGAAAATGTAGAATAAGGTATGGATTTTCAGACCCCTTGCATTAATACCACAGTGCTCCAGAGATCCTTGATACTCAAGTTGGGAGTCACTGTCCTGGAATACAAATAAAAAACATAGAAGAGCAGTTCATTCCCTCTGCAAGTGTTTATGTGGTAGCTACAGAATTCGGCACTATGCTAGGGGTACATATGCCAGTGCAACACCAAATGAGGTGACAATGTAGAGGGCAAATGCTGTAGGGAAGAAAAAAACACTGGGGCAGAGATTCAAACCAGCCTGAAAGCCACGCAGGTGTTTTAAGTTGGAAATGAAATGAGGAACCAAAAAATTCTGGTCAGGCAGTGATCTGCTGAGTGTGGTGCTTCAGGTAGACTCGCATGACAGGCTGCAGGACAAACTAGAGTGGGGGTCCACCTCCACACCTTCCTGGTCACTCAGCTCCATCCAAATGACTGCTCTTAAAAGTCAAAGTTAGGTTCTATTTCTAATCTGCACTGATTCATACTGCTGGTCACGTAAATTGGTATAGGCCACACCAACACAGCACATTAACATCTTAACTAATTTCCTGACAATACTAAAATCAAATCTCTACTTTCCAGAGATTATATAAACTTGGTAAACATTTGAGCTTCAGGTCCAGTCTGACAAAACGGAAAAAAAAGAGATTCATCTGCAGAAAGGTCCCAGCATTAGAAAACAAAGAGAAGGGGGAGGACAGTATGTAGGCCCTGACCTTTCTTACTGCCTCAATTCAAGGATTCGATTTCTCAACCTCAGATCCTTGCCCTCTTCCTCAAACTCAGATCCACCTCTTACTAGTTTTCAACTCTTGTCTATTATGATTACCTTAAGCAAAGCAAGATGCATGAATAACCAGCAGTAAATCAGGGATTCAATAGTTGAAATTGTGTAATATTCTGTGACTGTGCATCTGGCCAATTTCAACTTCTCCTTCTCTCTAATTTTTTTTTTCTTTTTTTGAGGCAGGATCTCACTCTCTTGCCCCAGACTGGAGTACAGTGGTGCCATCACTGCTCACTGCAGCCTCAAACTCCTGGACTCAAGTGATCCTCCTGCTTCGGCCTCCCAGTAGCTAGCACTACAAATGAGCACCAACATGCCTGCCTAATTTTTTTTTTTTTTTTTTTTTTTTTTGTAGAGACAAGGTCTCAATATGTTGCCCAGGCTGGTCTCAAACTCCTGGCCTCACCTCAAGCAATCCTCCTGCCTCTGCCTACCGAAGTGCTGAGATTTCAGTTATGAACCGCTGCCTCCTGCCCACTTAGCCTTTTCTAACACTAGAGAACTTTCAGAGTGGTTTCAATACCAACTGGACACTTCCCAGCGATTTAACCTCAAGCCAATCAAACTCCCAGGCCTCCGTTTCCACATCGAGATAATAAAAGTACCTCCTCAAAGAGTTTGTTATGAGAACTAAATGAGTTAATATTAGGCAAGCGACTGGAACATAATAGACACAATATGTATTAGCCATTTTCATCTTTATTTGTGTTATATTGGCCACCACCCAGAGATACCCAGGAGCACACATATCACATTCTTTCTACAGCAATATGTGGGCATGATTACTTCATGACCACTGAATCGCAAACAGCACAGCTTTTGATAAAGCACAGTGGTCGGATCCTACCTATTGCAACACCTCTGAGAGACGACTCTCACAAACCAGCCATGCCTAGCCTGAGACATTCCGAAGACCTCCTCCTGATGACCTTACTCGAGGAACTTATTCCTTTGGAAATGGAACCCAGCCTCACTTTTGGACCAGTGTGTCTCAGATACACGTCCAAACGTGTGAACCTGAATCCCAGAAGTTGGTGTGATTTTTAAAACTTTTTCAAGTTCTTTTTCCTAAACATGTCCTAGTGGGTGACTCCACAGCATCACTTCCTTTCATGTTCTCTTTTCTATCTGGAAAGCCGGTGATAGGGGACGAAACCAGCAAAGCACCCTTTTTCCTGCTTCCCAAACATTAGCAGGTAAGCGCCCCGTGAGCCGAGATACATCAAGAGGACCTCACCCGCAAGTTCATCGATCACCAGTTCTTTTCCCCTCCCGGCACCAGCAGCTGCGAAGCACGAAATGGGCTTGGAGGAAGAGGCGCTGCGGTCACCTGAGGGGCAGGTGCGAGCGGGCGGTCCTGCCCGGGTGTGAGGGTGACATCCCGCGCGGCACCCACGCTCACAGCCCCCAGAGGAAGACCAGAGGCACTCGACGCATCCAGCACACCGCACACACGACACACTAACG